GTGCCGTCTTATTAATATTAATGTACCGCCAAACTCTCTACAAGTGTCGTCATCGCTTGGGTTATCCCAAAGAGCGATTTATAGGTCAGGTTTCCACTGTTGACTATCCTGTTATGTTTAGATACAGCGCATGAACTTAGGCATGGCATAGTAGATGTTTTATGGCGCTACAGAATAGAAATAACAGTTAAGGCGCCAGCGAGGGCCTTGTTTTGATACATTTGGCTAGTGTTTGTTTCTGGCGTCTTTTATTTTATTATTGTGGGTGCTTTACGTCATAGAACATTAAAACATTTTGGGCGGCACTGCACGACCGTGCTCTAAACTTGGCGTGTTTTCAGTGAGACGTAGGCCTAGATCTAGGCTAGCCTTAGCCTACACTTTGGTGTAGAACCAACACAGGCAATTCTAAAAGTAGACGGTCACAAACGCACACAAACTCAAGCAGAATTAATTCACGTTATTCAGGGAACATAAATCGGGGGACGGGGGTCAGGAAAAGACACACACACAAACACACACACACACACAGAGGGACAAAGAGGCGAACGCACTCAAGCACAATAAGCTAGATCTACCCACCAACGCAAAAGAGCTCCAATTTACTCGGTGGCTATTGACAAAAAGTTAGTCAATTTTTGTCAATTGCCACCGCGTCACTCGGTGGCAATTGACACTACCTTTTTTAAAGGAAGTGCCTATTTGCAACGCCGTGTTGCGATTAGCGCCAGTGCTAAATAAAACGCCGCGTTGCGATTAGCGCCAGTGCTAAATAAAACGCTGTGTTGCTGTATGTAAAATATCAAGCTTAATCTGCACATCGTTAGGCCTATCGGAAGTTCTGATGGCCGAAGTGACAGCGCGTCTGCGCTTGAAGTCAAACCATTATTTTTTTAGCGTGGGTTCGATCCCGGTCCTGGACTTGTTTTGTTTGTTTTTTTTGTTTTTTTTGGTGTTGTTGCCCTCTTCTCGACTGACCAACAGATTGTTCCCATAATTATATCTTGTTGCTTTGTAGGTTTTTTTTATATGTAGTGATGAAGCATGCACATTCTGGTTTTGTCCCCAAGAGGAGCTCTGTACAAAGTAGGCCTTAGTATAGCCTATACTTTTCCTTTTACCAATTTAGGCCTGGTTAAAGTTCAGTAGTGGCTTTCCTTGGTCTGTGAGTCTAATTTTTTTATTTTTATTTTAGGCTCAGGAGAAGGAAAAAAAAAAAACCTTTCGGGACCGGGATTCGATGCCACGCTTGGAAGCACTGAACATTAGACTTAGAGAACGTAGGCAGTAGACAACTTGTCATGTATACGTTTTCTAGGCCTATTTAGCACTTAAAGTTCGAGTTTCACCGTCTTGTTATTGTTATCCAAGCGTCTTTCGACTTAAAGTTGCTCAAACTCTAACTCAGATGATTATGATTATGCAAACAATGTCAGAAACAATTGTTAGATCTAATCTAGATCTAGATTTTTCTAGATCTAAATCTACCCAATATTGATCGGAATAAGACAACATCATAAAAAAAGGAGTCAAATCCTAGCAGGTTTATAAAAAAACTGAGAAAGCTTTCACAATTCAGGCAGAACTACAATATTATCATGTAGAAACGATGGCTACTACAGCTAGATCTAGATCTGGTGTTTCAAATAGCACGGGAGCTATACAGAATGCGGCGTTGCGAATAGCACGGGAGCTATTCAGAACGCGGCGTTGCAAATAGCGCTTGCCATTTTAATTGGCTCAGAGAACTCTAAAGGAGTGAACTATTTTGTTATGAACGATCTTTGGCTGGACTGCGTCACTTTATCGATCAATATCTTGGCCAAGAGATGCTCTACACTCTTCGAGGTCAAGATAACTTGCAAATTCAATGGTCACTACACATACTTTGACCTGTAATTTATGTCATTTTCCATTTAAAGGATTACTGAAATTTTCCATTGAAAAGGAGAACATTTTAGAGAAGAAAATTTTCCTTCTCTGTCATGTTTCAAAATCGGGACCTATTGAATGAAAGGCGAACATCGCAACCCCTGTACCATAAGAGCGCCCCCCCCCCCCCCCTGCGTATTTTTAACTTTAATATTTTATGAACGGAACCTCTAGCAGAACTTCCTTTTTGTTCATTTTGAATCCGCAAAAGCGATTTTTGTTGTGATTTTTTTCTGTAAAAAGAATTAAGTTTGTGAATTTTCTCTCTTGTTTCCGAGTGAAGGGTGTAGAAACATAAATAGAAATTTAAAACGTATCAGTAAAATACATGCTGGTTCATAAATGGAATGTGTCACAACGCCATAAAATCAGGTGCTCGTCAATTTTTGGACATCGGGAATTATTCGTATCATCTTAAAGATTGTTCTTTTGACCATCTTTTGATGAAAAAAATACACCCCCATCTTGGTTAGGAGTCGAAATATTTGCGTTTGAAGGAGGTTGGGATTGTCTGGTTTCAAAGGTAAAATAAGCGAAAAAATGGCTGCCAATGTTTGATTATTTCCAAAGCTTGAGATTTCTTGAAAACTGAAAATTTACATATATATGTGTCACGACGCGGTGGAATCAGGCGCTCGTCAATTTTTTGGCATGTGGAGTTATTGGTATCATATTGGTATCATCTGAAAGTTGATTTAAACCCCCCGGGGCAGTGCCACTGACTAAAATGTCTTTAGGTCATTCCCAAAGGTGGGACATTTCTCGTTCAAGCATAGTAGAATTGTAAATGGGCTGACTCATGTCACGCCCATTGTGCCTGATCTACAACAGGGAACTGCTGCTTTTTCTTTCCTGAATGATCCTTACTATTGTCATTTCCCTCTACTTCTTTTGTATGTTTGTCACTCTCTTGTGACCTGCTATTTTGGGGTGCCTTGATAGTCAAAGGAGACCTTGTGCTGTTGAAGCTAGAGAGGTGAGCAGTCTAAGTCTGATTCCCTGTAAAGACTTCTGTTGACACCCACCCCTTGGCGCTCATATGACCTTATGCACTTGCGAGCGCCATAAAAACCTCTACTACAACTGAAAGCTGATTTATTTCCCTTGCTTCTAGTGGAATAAACATCCATTTATCTTGAATAGAACTCAAGATATTTGCGATTGAAGGAGGTGAGGTCGCCATTTTTCAGTGTTGAAATTAGTGAGAAAATGATCACCAAACTTTGGTAATTCCAATAGCAAAGTCTTTGAAAATGACACATTTTGTACCTGTAATCAATGTTTTTCAGTAAAATTCACAAGGAAATGTGTTTTTATATGGACATACACCAGGTTAAGCCAAAAAAATTTTTTTAATGATTAAAATTTCCAAACGGGAAAAATGCCTGTTTGTCCGATTTCGTTTTTTTGACGAGTGCCTGATTTCACCACGCTGCCTCACATATGTTGTGCCTTTAATCAATGTTTTTCAGCAACATCCACACTGAAATATAATACATGGATGGACATAATATAAAAAAGGTGTTGAGTCAAAAAACATAAATTAGAAAAGAATTGTCAAACTGGAGGGAAAATGCAGATTCTTCGATTTCATTATTTTGACGAGTGCCTGATTTCACCACGATGCCTCACAAAAATGTCCCTTTTGGATAGTTTTGAAACAAATGGACAGTTGCAATGCTGACCTGACCATGAACTGGTGAGTTGAAGACTGTCTAACAAAAGCGTATTAACAGCTGTTGTCCTCTTGCAGTTGTCTCTTACTATTCTTATTTTGTGTTACCATTTATTTCATTTTTTATTTCTTTTTAAAAATAAATCCTTTCTTTTTCCTTTGTTTTGGTATACATATATATATTCTATATGACCCATTTGACTGATTAATCAAAATATTTTAAGCAAACTATGAAAGCCTCATTGTTTTCTTTGTTTTGGTAAGAGTTTGCAGCTGCAAGGTCATATGTGTCACGATGTGGTGGAATCAGGCTTTTTATTGGGCAAAAAAAAAAATCTGAAGAAAAAAACCCTAAATCATCCGTAAAATGTTGATATATTATATATTTTATTTCATCATTTTGACAAGCACCTGGTTGCACCACGAGGTCTCACATAAATTAGCCTCATCAAAGGGAGTACACCCCAATCGGCGGCTGTGGACCAGACAAAAGTATGCTATGGCATTGGAAGAGAGAAGTCCCTAGACTAGCTGTCACATGCAGCTCAAAATCATGATCAGATTTATTTTATAATGAGAACTATCTGTTTAGACAAACAGTGTATTCTGTTTACATGTTAAAGTCTATTGTCTGATTCTCTTTCAACCATAAAAGGGAGATTCTATGGATTCCTCTTCCAAATGTATGGATTTACTGAAGATCTAAAGTACCATGAATGTAATGTTCTGTCATCCAGGTATCAAGTTTGTGTCCTAAAAGGCATGATGGATTGGTTAATCCTCCTATTATCATCCATCTATATAGATTTATGTGCCGTAGCCTAGTGGAATCAGGCACTCATCTATTTTTGGGCATGTAGAGTTATTGGTATCGTCTTAAAGCTTGTTCATTTGTCTTGCTTTTGATGAAAAAAATATCCATCTATCTTGAACAAAAGTAGAGATATTTGTGATTGAAGGAGGTGGAGTTGCCTGCTTTCAGAGGTAAAATTAGTGAGAAAATGGCCGTCAAAGTTTTTGGAGATGTCCAAAGCTTGGCAGTCCTTATAGAAATAGCAAATGTAAATTTTTTAAAGTTTCTTTAATCGACGTTGTTCAGTAAAATCCAAACAAAAATGTGCTATGGACACAAAAGATGTTGAGCAAAAAAAATAAAAAATGAAAAGAATTGCCGAACTGGCAGAAAAACGCGTGTCTTTGATTTCATTATTTTGACAAGCACTTGATTTCACCATGATGCCTCACATATTATAGTGTCAAGGAATTCAGTGTTTTCTCTGTGGATCATAATACTTTTGTGACATCATAGTAACATCTCTGTAAAAATGATACTGTCATTTTTTTTCACTGTTTTATTAATTTGTCCCTTTTTTTTCTCATTTCAGCATCTTTTTATACCCAAGTGAATACCAGCATGTCTGAGTCTGTAGATGAACTGCGCTCCCCTAATGTTCCTTTGCCTTCTGGCAATGTGTTGCGTATTTACAGTATGCGCACGTGCCCGTATGCTCAGGTAATGATTATTCTTAATTTGTGTTGTATGTGTGTCCAATGTATTTTCTCTGTAAGTGATGGAGATAGAAACATTATAATGTAATGATATTAATAAATGACATTTATATAGCACTCAACCCCGATTAAAGTACACAGGCTCTGAATGCTTCTCTAAACAGTACAATGTACAAGAGTAACATAAAACATTGTGTTCTAATTAAAAGAAAGTCACTCCAAATATTCATATTATTAATTTAAAAACAGAAATGACTTCAGCTGACTTTTAGATGAATCATTATGTAATTGTTATTTTATATTACTTGAAAGTCAAAATTGTACTTTGTAATAGATGAGCAGTAATTAACGTATTAAATGTTATGCTCATTCAGTGGTGTAGTTGATGTCCACTTTTGAAAAGCCAAGCCCATGGGCATTGCAGATGCTGGTCAGCAGTAAGACTACATCAAACCATTGTGAAATGCATTTGAAGATGTAGTCCAAACTGTCTGAGAAGGCCACCCAGCAGCTGTCTTTGGCAAGTGGTCGACTAAGAGGGTGCTGTTATTATAATGTGAAAAATAAGCGAGGAAGGAAATGGGAAGTGGCCATTTGTTCAGGTGATTGTCTTATATAAAGGTGGCTGTTTGTTCAGGTGATTGTCTTATATAAAGGTGGCCGTTTGAGCAGGTTATTTGTATTTGGGAAAATTTCATTTTATTTTCATGGTAACTTTTGAGGTTCATGCAAGATATTTCTGTATAGTTTAGTTATAAATATTAAGAGTCTTTCTTCATTTCTGTTACCAGCGAGCACGCTTGATCATTGCTGCAAAGGGCATCTCTGCTGATTTAGTTAATGTGGATCTGAACAAAAAACCCGACTGGTTCTTTGATCTCAATCCTTACGGAGAGGTGCCTGTCGTGCTGCATAATGGAGGCCATGTCTATGAGTCGCTGATTGCGGCAGGTAAGAATAGGTGCTAAAGAAATGTCTACTTAAAGCATAGACTGATCTTGCTGATGTGCTTGAAATTAAATTATCTGGGCTGGGTTAGAGATGTTTACATTTAAATAGAATCTATGTTTCCTTTTTCTTTTATTGTCTTGCTGGTAGACTGTAAACAATAAATGTGTCATAACTCCATGGAATCGGGTGCTCATAAATTTTTCAACTTATGTAGTATGGTATCATCTTAAAGCCCGCGACGGCAATTTGCCTTGCTTATAGTAAAGAAAATATCCATTTATCTTATAAAGATGTTGAAATATTTACGCTTGAAGGAGGAGGGGGATCTATACATTTTATTGCTTGTCCAGCTCTTCTTCTTTTCTTTATATGTTACTCTCTAGCAACACCTCTAATCTTCTGCGTTTATATGGCCTATTCCTGTTGCAAAGGCCGTAAAACTCTTACTAGAATGATGAGTTGTTTACTAGACAGTTAATTTATTTCCAGTTAGAAACAGGGACCTGGGATTCTGCAAAAGGTTTCTTTACCCTTTCACAATCTTTTATTTTATCTGTACTTTGTTTTGTTTTTGTTATTGTTCTCTTCCTTCTCCCCTCCACTGTTCCTTAGTAAACAGTATTACCTACTGCCTCTATGATTTTGTAAAGTCCCTTCTCCGTTCTTTGTTTGCCAACTTCTTTATAGTCATGTTAAAGAAAAGCTCACATTTTTGTTGTCAAGCTGTTCAATTCTAAGCCAAGATAGCAACATTTTTGAGGGGAGAAAAAAAAACTGTTTCATTCTTTTTCACAATTTAATGTAATTTATATATATCTGATCTTGTCTTGCTTTTTTCAATATTTAGAATATGAATTTTGACCCAATATTTCTTAAGCACATACAACCAATATGTCTCAGAGATATTAAAAGGCTGCAATTTTAAAACACTCAGATTTTTTTCACTATTGAATGTTTAGGTATCGTTTCTTGCCTTTTTTAACACGAAGATTTTAAGTTTTGATAGAACATTTCTGAAGCTCATTCAACCAATAGATCTACCGCAGATTAAAAAACTGTAAAAAAAAAAAGTCAAATTTTTGGCCTTACTACATTTGAACAGCTGGCTGATAATAGATTGTTTCTATGCATTGCTGGACTGACAATCACTCTGACATTTTCTCTCTTCACTTTCAGAATACCTAGAGGAAGCGTTCCCAGACCCTCCATTGTTTGCCAAAGAGGCTTTAGTAAGAGCAAACGAAAGAATCTACTTCAACCACTGGACGAAGAAAGTAAGTGTATCCTCAAGTGTTCCTGTGGCTCTAGACTTGTTATTTTATGACAAGTTTACTGAAATAATTTCTTATTTGAGGAGAGCTCTCCTTTCCCCTTTTTCCTCTTTAGTGTCTCATCCTTACTTTTTTACTTTTGTCTCCCCATTATCAAACATAGCTGCCACTTTCCCGCTAAATAGCGGAAACTCCGCTTCATCTAGCTTTTCCCGCAACTTTCCTCCTTCCTCCGCTGGACCGCTCTTGGTCGCAAATTTCATACTTTTTTTCCCCTGCGGAAAACACCGAACCAGGAGAGAGACGAAAACGCGGCTTGCGCATGTCCACCCGTAGCTTTCTACTTCCGTTCTTCTAGCCCCAGCGCTAGTTTCACATTGTTTATTGTTGTGGAGCAGCACAGTGTCGATCGGGCATCGGGACGTGAGCGCGCCGAGTTGTCATTGAAATTGGCGGATATTCGAGAGAAATTGATTCAGAATGCAAAAATAAAAGGAGCTGGAATGAGAAAGAAGCAGCCGGTGTGCGACTTGAAAAGTTCATTAGAAAATTGAACTAGCCGTTTTTTGCGAAAGAAATCGCGGCCCGCGGCACTCCTGAACAATTGCGGTCCCGTTTGTTTACATGACGGCTGTTGTGGCTGCTGCGAAAGTGAATATATAGATCTAGAAAATCTATCTCTAGATATAATCTAGATCTACACATATTTAGATATGTCTAGTCTAGATCTAGATTAGATAGCCTAGGCTATAATTTTAATTCAGTTTAGATCTCTAAATAAGAAACACACTACAGGGGCACTAAGTGCAAACGGGACCGCCATTGGACAGGAGTGCCCTGCATCCTTGATCCGATACTGCTCTACGTCTATGTATGTACAAGTTTAAAGTGAAAGAAATCTTTTTATGAGACACCAGCTGGCAAAAAACACTGGATTTTTAGTCACCAAGTCCAAACTGTGTCAAATTGACTCGAATGCTTGTTAGTCAACTTACTGCCTTTATGTTTTTTTGGGGTTTTTTTGTCAAATACATTTTAATTCAGTTGCCTATGGTTAACAATATGACAGTTTTCCCTTCCAAAACTGTAGGCTAGATTTTCCAGTATATATTGCCTCTGGATCTCACTGGTTTCAGAAAGCGCGCGTACGCCTTCGCGTGAATTTCCTCCTTTTTTAAAATTTCTGAGTGGCAGCTATGATCAAAAGATCTTGTCATTTTGCAAAGTGCTGATGGAGCTGAACATATATGAATTTTTCAACTTGAAACTGACTTCTGATGCATCACTCACACCAGTCCAGTGCACAATAGTCTGCTTCGCTTACATGAGCTATGTAAAGTCTAACACACAAATAGTGATCATGCAGTATAGTGAACAGATTTGTCAGATTCTGACTTTTTCTTATATATTTCTTTGCATTCAAAACATGCACATTAGGAAAAACATTCATGGCGGGAAAAAAACCCTGGTGTCAACAAGAGTAGATCTAATTAAAACGGACTTCAAATTTTGTTTACAAAATTACCCATGATGAGAAAGAAAGAGAGAGAGAGAGTGGGCAGAGTGTGAGTGTAGGCCACGGCGTCACTTTTCGCCCGATTCTGTTACTTTTAGTTAGCGTGACTCAGCAGCCCGCCGGAGCTCCCCGACTCGGGGTCACGGGGTTAATGAGCCCTGAAGCGACTTTGCCGGTTTCGGTCAGGAAGTTTGCATTTTTGACTGTTTAAAACGATATAATTTCTTCCCCATCCCACATAGCAAACCATTACGCGAATGTATTAAAAGCTCAATGTCTTGAGATTTATTCTGCATTAGAATGGTTAAATTCTTTGCCTTAGTTTTTGTTCTAGACAAGTGTTTGTAGAGTACCCAATTTGTCCTATTTTAGTTACAAACTTATGAATAAATGATTGTTAATTTTAAAAAGGCTCGACAGATCTCCAAAATCTGTGTTAAACTGACTACGAATATCATGTCTTTTACCATGAGAAATCTTTAATCTGCGCGAGTAGTAATAGTCAAGTTATAAGAGAAGAAAGATGCACATCTGCATTTTTTAACTAAAGACGATCAGCGTTAGCTCTTGTTTTACTATTAAACAGAGAAAGTTACTCTGCGTTTGTTCATGAATCATGCTGTGTCTGTGGCAGCCTGCATACAACTAAAAAGATATAATATAAGCGATTAAAAAATCCACAAAACCGTGTAAATACATGGGTAGAGATAAACTCCTTGTATGGAATAAAAATAATGACAGCTAAAACATTCATTCTTAGTTTTTGTGTAGGAAATATGCGCGGACACAATTATGAATATAAAGAAATCAGTCACATTGTCAGTTATTTCAAATGGTCATAGAAAAGAAAAAAAAAAGCTGGAAAAGTCTGGTGCTGATTCAGTGTCCCTGGAAAGCTAGAAATTATTCTTATAAGTTATAACCCAATTACGAGAAGTCATCCCTATTATTCAGTCAACTTACAAAACCTAGACTTAGCGTTTTAAGAAAAGTAAGGAATTTCTGGAGTGTATTAGATCTACGTTGAAGATGCACTAAAATCGATTTATACTATTGATAGAGAAACTTCATGGTAACTTTTATAAACTTTCGAGAAAATATGCGAATATTCACGATTATATTAGACACATAAAGTTGTATTTGGAGGAATTACTTCATAGCGAATTGTGTGCCCAATGGATAAAATTGCAAAATTACAGCCTTCTGTTAAATGCGCAGATACCATCTTTTCTGAGTATCTGCACCAATGTTATGTAGTTCATGTTCCAAAAGTTCGACTGACGAGGCCTTTTTTTTTTATATTGATTTTTTTTCATTCACGCTTGTCCCCAAAAAATTACATTTTAGCATTGCCGACTCCAGCACGTCTAACGAAATAACCAGACAAGTTACAACATCCGTTCTTTTTTGAGTCTCAAGAGCAGAAATGCGTGCTTTGGGTGCACTAAATGAGAATTACCATAAATACAAGGATACACCTTAAATTGTACGTTGAAAAGTACCAAAAATTAAGTCGGCCCAGACAGAGCGGCGACAGGGAGCTGACCCCTGTGACCCCGACGTGATAAGGCGCCCGGCGGGGAACCCCCCACGGCAACTAAAATTCCACTGCCGGTGCGCCGTGAGGCCAACAGTCCCTTTCTAAATCTAAGGCAGTAGTAAAGGGAAATTATGTTTTTATTGAGTACATCACAGAATTGTTCGGAAGAAGGTTTAGCTGGTCTAGCGCACTTTATTTGTGTGTCGAGAGACTGCGGTCACGTGAAGGCACATATATTCGGCATGCTTTCTCTTCAATAGGGATTACACAATATGTAACAGCTTCCTACAAAGTTAGATCTAAATAGTAGAATGCTGAGCGTAAAAAGCTAAAAGGCTTCTATGTCGAGGAAAAATGGCCGATTCAGAGATTGTAAAAAAAAAGAATCAATGTGAAAAAAAACCCAAACTGCAAATTTATTTTAACACTAAAGGAACTCATGGTATTGGGGTGGCATAGGGGGAATAATTCATGAAAAAGTTTGATCCATTCGTCCATTTTGATTTATATCTATCTCCCTTGATGTAACTGGAAATTCGTCCACAAAGCAAAAGACGTAACATATAATAACTCACAACGAAAAGATTTCTGTGTCCCACGGTTTTCACCATCTGTTTGTTAGACTGTACTGTCAAATTTGCTCTATAGGCTATTTTTTCAATGTATGCAAACCATCAGTTTAAAAAGTCCCCTTTGTTCATGAAAATATTTGTCTACTCTTTATTTTAAGTGCTGGACTTTTCTTCATTTATAGACTACCCTCTATCTCCTATTAATTTTAGTATGTAATTTCCTTTGAATCTTTCATTTTTCGCCTTACCGTAATTCTTTAGATTTATCAGTGTTTTTCAGCGCTTAGAATGCAATTTTTGTCTTAAAGTTATTGGAAACTTGGGTTGATGCTTTGACATTTTTTAGGTGCTTCAATTTTGTCTGTGTCTTGTAATAGTTATTTTCCCTTATTTTAATGACATCCTGTACAGATTGTTGTGTTAATTAAAACAATTTCTTTTTTTATCCCCAGGGTATCCCGGCATTTTACTCTCTCCTCAAGGCCGGCTACAATGACCCTGAGCTGACCCAGCGTCTGATGCAGAACGTGGAGGTGATGGACAACTTCCTCAAGACACTGGGCAAGCCGTTCTTCCACGGAGACACCGTCGGCTTCTCTGACTACATGATTTGGCCCTGGTTTGAGCGCATGCCCATGCTCAAGGATGTCACTGGTGATTAGTTTTACATCCTTCACACACAGTACCGTAGCTTTTTTTTCCTCCCTTCTTTTTCTTCCTCCCTTCTTCTTCTATTTCTTCTTCTTCTGTTTCTTCTTCTTCTTCTTCTTCTTCTGCTTCTTCTTCTTCTTCTTCTTCTTCTTCTTCTTCTTCTTCTTCTTCTTCTTCTTGGGGGCTCTCGTGGCCTAGAGGTTAAGGTGTTGGCCTCTCATTTAGAGGTCTCGGGTTCAAATCCGGGTAGTGAGCGAAAAATTTTCTTCTCTAAATTTGTCTCCTTTCACCTCCTTTCCTGCTCTCTAGCAATGTTCTGTCGTCTGCTTTCGTTTCCTCTTTCTGCCCCCCTCCCTCATCTCCTTTACCCCCCTCCTCTGGGCTCCTGATTCTTTCTACAGCCTTTCTACTGCTACTCCTTGGCTTCTTCATACTGCTGTCTTTCAGCCATACCCCTGATCTTCTGGTAGGAAAGGTCTACGCCTAGCCTTCTCGGACAAGGGCGAAAAATCTCGGAGGGCCTGTGTGCAAGTTGCACACGTTAAAGATCCCTTGGTGGTCTTAAAATCGATAAGAGTAGGCTTTGGCCGCCACCCAGGCAAAATTCAAAATTTCCTACCATCTGAAAAAGTTTAATGTGTCCCGTGCGCTCATATGACCTTATGCAGTTGCGAGCGCCGTAAAACACTTACAAAAACAAAATCTTTTTCTTCTATTAAAAAAAGGTAGCAAATCGTCAGTCGCCTGATAAAACCGTGAATTCCACAAATTTTCGAAAATCGTTTTTTTGCACATTTTGATAGTACTCGGTGAGATAGATGTCCCTGCAAAACTATTTTTCAATTATCTCAACTCAAATGTGTAATCTGACGTAATAAGATAATCGTGCCTGCAAAGTCGCCTGATGAAACCGTGAATCCCACACCTGTGTGGAATTCACAATCTTATCAGTCGGTTTATGACTCGCGGGGCTGACCGTTGGCGCCGTGAACGCTTCTCTAGACCATTTAAATATGGGCGATTGCGTTGTGCAAACACATTGGTCGGTCAGTATTCACGGTTTCCAGGCCAAAGATTATAATTTATGATGTCGACTGCATGTGTTTTGCGGGAAAAACTCTGTCACATAAATTAAAGTGTGTGTTTCCTAGATGCAAGACTGGTATTGTTTAACAACGACTGTCAAATTCAAATGTGTAATGTGTGTGCTCTTCTGGTAGTTTGCAATTTTTTTAAAAAACTAATTCGCTAAGTATTATTTTCGGCTTGTGGACAAATTTTTTTTCGGGAGGGCGAATGAGATGATGACTAGTGGGCAGTTTAAAGGTCTTTGGGCCCACAAATTCAAATAAATATCAACGTATTATATACCAATATTTTCAGTATGGTTCGTAGAATACATCTGTAATGTTTATTTATGTATTTTTCAACTTTAGTTCCTGTAAGAGACGATTATGCAACACAATTTTGATTGGATGAGGATAAAAATTGAAAATAAAAAATTAATAATCTTTGGTGAAACTCAAAAAATATCTTTGCACCTAGTCAAATGATACATCAAAATAACCATAAATGAATATATAGAACTGGAAAATATTGAAAAGTTTGCAGTTATTTACCTACATTCCATAATATTTGTACATTTTGAACATAACATCCGATATTGAAAAAAAAAAAAATTATAATCTTGAAAAACGATCACAAACAGAAAAAAAACCAGTCGTATCTTATATGGAATTATTCAGAATTGCATTTGGAATAATGTCTTGAGTGGCACTATTTGTGTAAAATTTCATCAAAAAGTAGTGATTTTGGGAAGAAAAAAATATTTCGACAATTAGATCTAGACCTAGATCTAGCACTCAAAAATATTGATTTTTCAATAACAATGCATTGGCAATATGAGTCCAATCGTATCAATATTATAAAAAAGAGTCCTACATTTCTTTAGTGGGCAAAATAATGATAGATTTTGTTGTGTAAAATTACTAAGACTGGTGTCCGGGCTATAATTTTGGCATCGCGATAAAACAAAGTCGAATAAACTACAAAATTGCGTTTCAAAACTGAATCTAAATTTCCGATTTTCAGTGGAAATGCTTGACCCGGAAGTCAACATTATATTATGACCTTTATTTTAACATCGATATGTGGATGGAATAGAATCTAAGCTAAAATTGAAGATCGGTTCTCGAGCCGCCGGGGGCGGCTTAGCGTACTGACGGCACTTTAGCCGCGCCGCCCCCCCCACGGCTCGGCGTAGCGAATGAGTTAAATAACGTAGTCAAGTATAAATTACAAGTATATTTCCGTGTTGTATTACCACCCAAACTTGTTTTACATTGAAAGCTCACTGATTTGACAACAGTTCCCTAGTGAGAAAAATAATTTTGAGAAGCCGAGCAATGTGAACCACTTTGGGCATCAAAGAAAGCTACAAAAAATACAACACGGAAATAGTAGAAGAACCAGACTTCAATTTTTTTTTTTTAAGTGTCATTCAAAGTACACGATGCGTTTGAACAGATCAGAGGTGCTTTTTTAACCTCAGAGAGAGAAAGAAAGAGAGAGAGAGAGAGAGAGAGAGAGAGAGAGAGAGAGAGTGGGGGGGGGGGGGGCAGCAATAAGCAATACAAATCAAGAGATAGGTCGATTGGAAAAAACTAATGACGTGAAACCCAGAAGTGAATGCTCAACCAAGTCAAATGACTACTCACTATTAAAAGACAAAGACAGAACAGCTATGTTTGTCTGTGCTTGGACATTGACATGGGGAGACAGAAAGACCTATGTGAACGATCTTCTCAACACGAAAGAGTACACTTTAAATGCGAGACACCAAGCTGAAAGATGCACACTTTGGTTTATTATCTGAAACAGAATGACCAGAAGATCAAAGTTTGCAGGATGTTGATATCTATGACCGGGCTCACCCATTGTAAATTGCTCTAGAGGAGCCCATGCCAGTTTCATCATCGCCAGGCTCACCCTGTACGGACAAACACTTTCCACTATTCCCTACCCTGGGCTAATTTCTTCAGATTTTTCAAACGTCTTTCCACTTTTCTGTTCTTCATTCTTTGCGACTTTTGTACAGGTTCAACATGGCCTTCCCTTGATCGTGTAACCTGTTGACTCAAAATTTAAATTTTCTTTGTTATGTAGCTGCCTGATTTCCAGATGGTATGCTCAGTCTTGTCCATCTGCACCGCTTTCTTCTGTCTGAAAGTGTTCTGCTCATCACTTTCTCATTGGTGACTCTGTCTGTCCATCTGATCCTGAGGAACTTCCTCGGGCATTTGTTGATGACAACCTGGATCCTCCTGTACTTTGTAAAGAGTGCTTTAGTAGAGCCCACCCAGCTGCACCACCAAACAATCCACAAGGGTTGAGCAGGCCAAGAAGTTTCTGTTAACATCTGTGGACATGCCTCTGAAGGTTCCCACTCACTATTGCCAGCAAAGCTCTGGAAAACTATCTTGATCCCTGATTCTGTAATTTGTTGGAGCTTCATTGGTTTTACAAAACAGCCTGCACAGACCAAGGACAATCTGCCTTATATTTCAGGCTACTCAAATACGTGATAGATGAAAAGACCATGTCGACCTGTGAGCCAAAAAAGGATCTATGTGAATTGTGCGTGAGTTTTGTGTCTTGATAACGTCAGCCAGTTTAAGTGCGAATCTCACATGTCAGAAAAGAAAATGACAAAGAAGGGGCACGTCATGTATAAAGCCTTTGCTCTTAGGCAAGTTTGAATCTTAAGGGTGCACTTTTGTCACTGCCTATCAATTCCTCCAGCTCTTGTTTCAAAAGCATGCACATAATCTTCAACGTGACCACGTATCATGCCTTCAATTACTTATGACACAAGGCACAAGGTGATTTGTTTGCAAATGAATTCACAAGTTATTTTATGGACTTTTTTTCAACGTGCACATATGCATAGAAGGTTGTAACTTATTATTATACAGCTACGGGTGAGTGTGTGTGTGTGTGTGTGTGAGTGTGTGTGTGTGTGTGTGAGTGTTTATTAGCACAAAATGGCATCTATTTCTATTCCCGTGAGTGCCTTTTCCACTAGAGCAAACACGAATTTGAAAACAAAATCTTATCAGAGGCCACACTCATATGCAAGTAGAAAGTATGCACACTAAACCGTGGCTTCAAATAAAAGACTTTTTCAGAACTGCAATTTTTATAATTATATCAACGAAGACCATATAAAGTGAAATTTGTAGTTCATATTTTCCCCCATGATTTCGTCAAAATTGCTGTCCACAATGCTGTCAGGTCGGGTAGACAAAAAGAAGACCAAGCCGTTAAAAACGGAGAGTGGGAGAGTCTTCTAAAGTCCAGATGACAAAGAAAACTTAACAAACAGTTCCCCGCCACTGTATCATTCTCCTTATAAATGGTGAAGAGTAATTTTCAGAATCTGAGAGACAAAAAGAGTAAGATAGTGAAAGATGATCATTCGGTCATTCACTCGGTATAAAAGTTTGACATAAACCAAGTTCTCAACCCATCCACCTCCCCCGTGTCCAAGCCCAATAAAAAAAGGACATACACTTACACACAATTGGAGAAAGAAGGATAGAAAAAGAGAAAGCACGCAAATGAAGGAGTATGATTTCATAAATCAATACAATGTCCCATTCTTTTAAGAATTAGAGATGTTTATAGTGTTAAAATAATAAGTACCTTTTGGTTTTACTTAGTCTGTAATGTCATACTCAGTTTTAAATTGATCTTTTAAAATCTTTCTTATAACAGTATTTCGTGCTTTCAATACTTTCATATATTTTTAAACATATCAGGGCCTCTAATAAGAGAAAACACACGGTCTCATAACCGTGAATACAACACTGCGTTCCATAAAGCCTACTGATGAAATCGTGAATTCCACAGCATCAGGCGAGATTCCGATATGAAAACCGTGAATCCCACACTTTTACGTAAAAATGACCATCTACGGTAAAAAATAAACTACAGTATTATTTCTAAAAGATAATTGATCAGATTTATCCATTTAGTTTATTTCATGAACACCAAATGACGGAGAAAATCAGTTTTTTTCCTCTCCTGTAAAATTTGCTTCGTGTGGAATTCACGATTTCATCAGGCGACCAGCGAAATTTGGGATTGCACCAGGCCGAAGGGCTAGAACTCAGATGGGCGCTGAATCAGAAAAGGAGGGATTGTACACGTTTCTTGTTTGCATAATACCCATTGAAATTCAAGGTTTCAAATAGAAAAAGTCATGATTTGAAAATAAAATGAAGAAGTTTGTTTCCTAGAGCATAATTTTCTTCTATTTTTAAAAAAAATGAACTTCCATTAAGTTGTTCTCAGCATTTTGTGGAAGGTACAAATCTGGTCCGTCTTTACATTCGTCTTGTCTAAAACACTTTAGTATTCTTTCTTGATTTCAGAGTTTGAAATTCCTCGAGATAAGTACCCTCGCATCGCAGGATGGGTTGACCTCATGTGGAAAGACGAAGCTGTTCAGAAGGCTGCTTTCGACCCGAAGCTGATGACGGAACACTACATAAAATATCGCACGGGCAGGCCTGACTTCACCATTGGAGCCAAGAAGCCAAATGTGGTGGAAGAAAGGCTGGAGAACTTGGATGGTCTGCGTGACCCTACTACCCGCGACAGGCAGACTTAGGTGGCGCTACATATTGTTACTGAAGTCTTCATTATGCTTTGAAAATCTGACATTAGCACACGTGTCAGGGATGTCGGTGTTCTGGAATGCTCCGGGATATTATATACTTGCTGATTTTGGGTGGGTTTTTTTGTTGCACAGGACTATTTCGTGTTCCCTTGTTTGCCAATGACGTCTGTGTATTATCTTTTCATAGTATTCAGACAAACCTGGGGATGTCTGAATGGTGCTCTGTACTTAACAAAACAGGCATACAAATGCTTTGATCATGTCTGGATGGTTTTGTCTCCTCTTAAAAACTCACATTTGAATTTCATGGACCGTGAGTCCCAGTGGAGGCAGGGCGGGCAGAGAACAAACAGATCTAACTCCCCGTGATCATATCTTAGGAAAACAGCTCTGATAGCAATGCCCCCCCCCCCCCCCCCCCCAATATCTGTGTACCTATCGAGCAAGTGTCAAATTAAGCCACTTCTAGTTTTGACACTATTTGAATCTATTTTGAGCTGCCCTACAAAATATGGATGCACTCTCATTAGCTGCTCTCAACAGTCTTGTCACAGTGGACGAATTATAAGGATAAAGTCAGGTTTTAAAAAAAAGATAATAAATTTTGGCTTCCTTCTGTAAAATAAAAGTAAGAGATGTTGGCACAAGATTCAGATTTCTGCCATATCATTTTTTATACCTGTTTGTACCCTCATTTATGTTTTATTTGTTACTCCAGCATATACTAAGCGTATACTTTTAGTCTCATCAAATTTTTTCATGAAGGCTTTATATTCAGCATTTCTTCCTTGTGATCTGACTTACGTATTTGATTTTTACATTGTACCATTTTTGTTCATTCTGTACGTGAAGTACAGGTACAGTTTTTCCCTTTTGCCCATCAGTTTGTTGAACTATTTTTTTTTTGGTTCTTGATGTCTTCAAACATATTTTGTTACATGTATGTTTATATTTGTAGGTACCGGAAACTAAATTTTCAAAGTAGCTGTATGCCAAATTTATCTGTTCCATTTGAAAGGCCTATATCCACTGAGCATTTTGGTACCATTTTTTAACACCTCAGTCATTTTTAAGAAAATGGTAGTTCTTTAAAATCTGATCAAATTTGTTAGTCAGTCACTTGCTGCAACCCCATGTGTGACAGATAATAAAAGAGCACCAAGTGCACTAAACATCTCCACAGTAACTGAGTAAATCTCCATAACAAATATATGGAGCCTAATTTTTTTTCAAGACTGAGATCATTACAAATCAGTATTTTATCGCCTCAAACACGATGATCTGTCGTTATTTCAATAAAACACCGGCGTTGACCCGGCTGGCGCCACACCGCCCCGCCCGGCCCCCCCCCCCCCCCCCCCCGCGGCGAGCGAGTCGGCTCTATACTGTAGTGTACCCCACGTGCGGGGTCACATGCTTTGTGAGTCTCGCGGAAGGATTGATGCAAAATAATTCCACGCTAATTACTTTATTCTAATAGGAAATAAACTAATCTTTTAATTGATACCTGTTTTGAGCCGGTATGTTACATATTTCGTGTAAGAAAATGATCTTTTAAAATTTTGATGGTGTTTTAAAGGGCTTTCTATTTAAACACCAAAGGCCAAATATATACCACGGGAAAGCCCGTTTAAAGCTCTACAGTTTTTCGCCAATGAAAAGACGGTATTTAATCATCCCTCGTTCCGCGAAGCATTTGAATGCACCCGTGTCAATTTTTGAACCAGCCGACCACACATTCAGACCACGAGGGGCTTCGCTTTCCTCGGCGATTCTCCAGCTCCTAATAATCGGACATATAAACAATTTACACCATCATAACGAGGAAAAGCTGAACTTTTACAAGGTGTACGGCTTTTGGTGTTTTATAGCGAAAGAGCAAAGAAACAGCGATCGGAATTACCCCGATTTCACCGATACCACACGGTCGAAAGGTCGCTAATGCCCTCGAGGCCGCGTTTACGCTACCTAATATTTGTTACATTATCCTCTCTGTTTTGATGCTCTTCTTAGATTTTCTTCATTTACCTTTTCGCATTTCAAAGACATCGCGTTGGCGTTGTCTTTATCACTACGCCAATTCAAGATGCCGCGCTCTACTATAGCACGGACAGGAACACTTTCTTTCACATCATCCCACATCACCCTGGCACATACGTAGTTTTGCACGCCTCAGTAAGCTTGCTTTTTTTCATTTTTTCACGTTCAAACTTTCAAAAAGTATTCAGATGCCATTTCAGAATTGAGGGGGGTGGTTTTTTGGAGTTAGAAAGTGAGTTGCGTGAGCACTCCATGATTTATGGGAGAGTTTTTGAGGTCACTTTAGAAGGTGTTCCGCATTTAATCTTTTCCCTTGAGGTGAAGTGTCGGAACCACGTGGTAATGTGTGATAGCACATTCGGACACAGTCGTGTGAAAACACCTTAGAGGAGCAGCTCGAGCAAATGACCAGTGTTGTCAAGATAATGACCACCAAACCGACAGATGAGGAACGCAAGCTTTCTGAACCTGACAAAAGTGTTTGTTGGCAGAGATGTGAAAAGGTTTATGTTGTTTGATTTCATGTGTCCCGCCTGTCAGAGGTATGTTGTCAAAGAGTGTCTGCAGCGAGGTGAAGACAACACCACCGGATGCAGAACTTGAAGTGAAGGCAGTGGGAAGTGTGCACCGGAAAGGCGGACAAGGCTGGGGCGTCAGCAGTGAACAGAAAATATGCAAAGAATCTGCATTTCACAAGAGCCTACACTGCGAATTTGGACTTTGTCTTGGCTGTTTTAAGGTATACAACACAAAACAACAAGAAGCAGCTGTTTCTTTATTGCTGATTCTTGCAGTTAAATTATATTTATCACAGATCATGCTTGCCATGACAGGGTGTCAAGATTATTAGAAAAACACATTTTATTTGTTTGTCGTGTGTAAAATTTGTTTCAAAGACTTCCATTTTTTGAAAATTGTATGCTCTTTTGTCTTATTGGCTTCTTTTGTCAAGGAAAGTAAATGTAATCCTAAAAGTTATTTCTCTGTTGACAAATTTTAATGTTTGAAGTTTACTTTAACACCATATACTTACATCAGTGACTGAAAACTTAAAGTGCAATTTTCGTTTATACTGCAAAATTGTGCTTTTTTTAATGAAAATAATGGTGTTCTTTGAGATTGTACACCTTGAAAACCGCACAAGCCGAAATGATCAATGTTGTTCGATTGTTTATATAATTGTTAGAGTGCACTAGTCAAAGATGCCGTGGTATTATTGAACTATTATTATGTTGACTCCTTTTGTTGTAATTTGTGTCTTTAGTGTGTTAAAAATAATTACATGTATCATCCGTCAACTTCGATTTTTATATATAATATGTATTATCTGATGCAGAGAAGTGGACATTTATTTGAAATTAGGCGTTGACCTGCAATGCCATGTTTTAGTCAGAGTTGCTGTCTGGTTGGTTGCTGTCTGGTTGTAAGAACTTTTTAAGGAGCAGAGAGCTGGTTTGTCATTTTTTACCCTGCATTGTTATATATTTGTTTTTAAAAAGTGACTTAGCAGAAAAGAGTTCATGTATAAATTTTCAGAAAGAAAATTGATTAAATTGACTTTAGAAGCTCTGTACAAGAGGTTGGAAGATTCTGTAAAGTGACAACAAAGACATTGCATTGAAAGAACAGGTCACTCTTTCAGAAACTGAATGAGTTAAAAATAACAAATTTAATAACAGGTCAGACTTTCATCTGTCGTAAAGTGGTGCCGGGAAGTTGTAAGTTTTCGGGGTTTTGTATTGCTATAAGTGAGCTCTTTTGCAAAGGAGCATTTATTGATGTGTTGGCGTTCAGTCCTGTATATATATAAGATTGTAAGCTTCTGCCTTGTTTGCGGGCCAGAAACACTAACTATTCAATATATTTTGATGCTTTTATTGTGATATTTTTTCCAGTCGTTTGGCAGTGATTATTTTGTCCTTGAGGTTTTTTTTTATATAGATCTACTTGATGCTAGTACGATGTAAGCTCAGTGAAGTAGGCTACAATTGTTTACATCCCTAAGATCTGTGTTTCTCCAAAGATTTCTTCCTTGTTTCTAAATTTACAAGTATTATCCTATTTGGTGCTTTAAATCTTTCCACTCAGATATATTTGTGTGCTTGTTTCTGTTTATACCTGTGTGATGACGTGGGGTTGGATGTTTAGGTTGAGGGAAGATATTGAGAAGGAATAACTCAACTTCATCAATGTCCTTAACATCGTTATTCCACAAAATATTTTCTTTATTCATAAGCAAGATTAAGTCAAAATAATTGAATTATAAAACCACAAGGCTGATATCTATGATGTAATAGATCTAGTCAGGCTTTTTGTGGGTGTGCTTTGATGTGGTTTGCTTCTTCTGTCCTATCAAACATCTGTCGTCTTTATTTCTCCTTGATTGTACGTTACTCTCTTGTAACACACCTCTAACCTTTGACGGCACTTATATGACCTATTTGTGTTGCAAGTGCCGTAAAACCCTCTCTTAAACTAAACTGAGACTGTTTTCGCAACTGGCTAAAGACAGTAAGTCATTTCTCATATATACATGTATTGGGAAGATGTTGTATCAAGTAAGTGTTTGGGTCTCCATCTTTCTCCTGGGATGTACCTCTCAACCCCAGTGGGCCCAGATAAATAGGTTTGAATCTAAAATCTCCTAAATTATCATGATTCAGTCGGGCACAGATTACTCAAACATAGCGAGGATTGACAAATGTGTGCGACACTTCCATAATTCAGGTGAACCAAAAACGAAATTTTACAGAGATGTCAGTCCAGAAATGGCAAATTATACAAGCTAAGGGTGATTTTGAGTTATCTGTGTTCATGTTAGCGGGTGGTTGGTGGGTGCTCTTGTCTGGTTTGCTCCTATCTGACAGCTACCATCCCGATCTCTCCTCCTTCTTTCTTTGTGTTCGTTACTCTCTTGTAACACATCTAATTTTTGGCATTTATATGATCGAATTGTGTTGCAAGTGCTGTAAAACACTAAAACTGCTTTCCTGTCATCTGTGCCTGTGGGTGGTTGGTGGGTGCCCTGGTGTGGTTTGTTCCTTCTTTCCTATCAAACATCTATCACCCTTATCTCTCCTTCATTTTTGTATTTGTTACTCTCTTGTAACACCTCTAATCTTCGGCACTTATATATGACTTTATTGTGTCGCATGTGCCGTAAAACTCTTACTAAAACAAAACATCTCTGTGCCTGACTATGTCAATTAGGACAGAAAATATTTACAACCTCAGAAGAAGAAACTGGATGTGGCTTTTGTTAACATTCCTTCATTTTGTGTAAAGTGGTGCTTGCTATTGGTTGCTTTTGCATCAATTGTTTATAATTATTGCATGTATGTGTATATAGTTACAACTATGTTTTCCTAATAAAAATTGAAATGTAAAACAGGTCCTTATAGTTCTTTTTTTTTTTGTAAGAGTAATTGTTACTTCCATCGTTTGTGATTGTTTTCTTTGGTGTTTCACTCTTTGGTCTCTTTTTTTTATGCAAAGAATGTTTCATCTAAATTACATTTGTGGGTGGTTGGCATGTGCTCAGGTGTGGTTTGCTCCTTCTTTCCTATCAAACATCTTTCGTCCTGATCTCTCCTTCTTATTTGTTTGTTATTCTCTTTTATAGTTTTTTTTTTCAGATCAAATATACACATAAGAAATACAAATGCCACATATCAAGTTCAAATGCCACATAGAAAGTTTCACGCCACATAAAAAGTTCAAATGTTCAATAGGAAATTTTAGTGCACAATTGTGCCTAACAAATTCAAATGTACAAATAGCAAATCCAAATGTAACACAATAGCAAGTTCAAATGCCACATAGCAATTTAAAAGCAAATATCCCCCACAAAGATTGTTCGACGTGAAAAGCATTTTAATGTGCTCAAACTGAGTTGACGACAACCATAAGCAGTTAAATTTTGAGGTGAATTGATCACCACTGAATCTCGAGGATGCTCCCGAGGAAATAAATTCAGATAGGACTGAAGCAACTAGACATCAATTTAAGCAGCATGGCTGATGCAGAAATTTAGCCGTGTGAATTTGCCTTTATTGAGGAAGCTGGTAGCAAGCCATTGACGAATAGAAACCGATGAAGAGCACGGAGTGGTCAATGCTTTGTTCCAGTAATGCAGGGTCGA